AAATACGTAACCTTCCGGTCACAAAGGTGTAATCTTACCAATTCTCCACGGATCGCCCTTTTAATATACAACCTTGAGACATGGCCTACCCACAGGACAAAGATAGAGGACAAAGTACCAAATTAGATCGAGGACAAAGACAAGGACCAAATTGCATTTGAATAAAAACAAGATTACATTGGAAAACAATAATATAAAAAATGGAAAAGAGCAAAGATGAAGATTTAACAAGAACTTAAACGAAACTGGAAGAACAAACAACACCGACAAGAAAAAGGTCAAGAGAAAACTGGTTTAGACTCAAATATAGCAAATGACCGGGTTGAACAGGAGATGATGACCCAAAACACAGCCACACAGCCTTTGGAGGGGCACGAACCAAGATTGTACAGGCTAGGTGCCATCAGATTTTCCATATTGGGGTGAGTGAAGGAGGCGGCGGGCGCAAAGATGACTTCAAGCATATGAAAGAGCTGGTCACATTCACAACATAATAGTGACGGAAGACGTAACAAACGGAGGAAAGAGAGATAAGATAAACTATAAATAATATCTTATTATGTATAGTGAGACGACCCTTAAGCTGGTCAATCTCACACAAAAGGTGGTGAGATTGATGAGGATGTAAATTATAGAATCAGAGCAAGATGGATGAAATGACGGAGTGCATTTAAATTTGTGTGTGACTGCAAAATTCCCCTTAAGCTAAAAGGGAAATTTTATAGAACATCAATAAGGTCTACAATGTTATATGGAGCTGAATATTGGCCAGCACGTAGGCAACACGAGCATAAAATGAGAGTAACAAAAATGAGGATATTAAGGTAGATGTATGGTTATACGAGGATGGATAAAATAAGAAATGAAGATATTCAACGAAAGGTAGAAGTAATACCGGTAACTGAAAAAATGAGGGAACATAGATTGAGATAATTTGGACACGTAATGAGATGGCCTCTGGATGCTCCTGTAAGAACAAAAGTTTGTTACCAAGATCTCGACACAAAGAGAGGTAGAGATAGACAAAAACTTACCTAAAGAAAGGTAGTTAAACAAGACTTAATGGAATTGGATATAGATTGGCGGACAATGTATTTTAGAACGGAATGAAAAAAAGCTATAAGCAGAGTAAAAGGTTAAATCCGTTGTTATTCCTATGTTCTAGATGGTTCCTTTTTAGTCTTTTTCCTCTTCAATCCCCCCTCTTTCTTTTCCCCTTCTTGTCTTTTATTTTATTTTCCCCTTCCCCATTTTTTTTTTTAATTTTTATTTATTTATTTATTTTATTATTTTATTTTATTTTATTTTTTAATCTTCTCTTATTTATCATTGGGTTCATCTACCACCGACCCCAATTAGTTTGGGTTAAAGGTGCTATTGATGTTGATGTATTTAATCTAATACAAATCTATGACGCAAGACACTCTTATTTCTTTAAGTGTTGTGTCGGGTGTCTGCGTTTGTGCTTTAACAGATGCAAAGTACAAAGCACTAACTCCTGTTTATATTCATACCAGACTCCTAATCCTAATCAGGAATAAGTTCAAGAAATATAATGAAATATGAAAACCATTCATAAAAGATCAAATAAGATAACTCTAAAATTCCCTATATGATACAATCAAAATATTGTGAGATATTTTTTGAGATACTGTTAACACTACTTTTGAAATCGAAAGAACTACATCATCTCTTTATCTTCTTAATCACAAGATGATAATAAATATGAGAATTCAACAACCTTTCACATGAGAATAGGCATTATAGCGAAATTCTTTCAACTGGGCTTACAATTACTTACTGTCAAGGAAACAAGGAAAGCAAATATAACCATGTTCAACCAATGCCATTCAGCCTCGATCACATTGTGATAGGCTTTGAATAAAGAGGGAAAAAAAAGAAAGAGAATCCAAACAGAGCAAATGTTAAGATTCATCACAAGAGAAGATAGACTTTTTTTTTTTTTTTGATAACAAGAGAAGATAGACTTTAGATCACACACACCCCCACCAAATTGTAAGTTATTAAACCAGGGCCACCAAACGAATTTGCAGAGATTGCATAACACTCACTTAAAACATGAGAACAGGCCTTATAGCGAAATTCTTCCAACTAGGCTTACAATTACCTATTGTCAGGAGACAACGAAAGGAAACATAACCATGTTCAACCAATGCCATTCAGCGTTGTCACATTGCAATAGGTTTTGAATAAAGGAAAACAAATGAATCCAAACATAGCAATTATTAAGATTCTGATAGGGATCAACAACACATAAAGAACCAACTCAGTATATTAATAGAATCAACATTACAATGCTCAGCAGCGATGACAATTACAAAGAACACGTATTCCTACGCAATTACAGTAACGCAAATGAAGAGACAATTACAATAAAGGAAACTAGAAATTAACAGTGATAGTTCTAGAGCATTCGAGAGGCTCTAGTCTCTCCCAAATCACCCCAAGAGGTGCCCAAATGTCCCAAGTCCAAAAGATACTTCCATCCTCCTACTATTCCCTATTTATACTAATTCTTTCCCTTCATTCCAATGCTGCTTCTCACGTGTGACACTAACAGAATTGCCTTCCACTCATATTTGCTTCTAACTGCCTTGCTGACTTAGCTTCTTCTAGAATATACCTTTAGAGGTAGTTTAGGGGTGGTATCCTATCAGATTCATCAAAGAGTATTACAGAAGAAGATAAACTTTAGATCAGTAATAGTAATCATGGTTGTTAAAACGTCGTTCAACTCGGTTGGAACGGGCGTTTTTACATTTTTTTGGCCAAAATCGTTTCAGAATGATGATAGAAACGGATTTTGGATAGACTTGGTTGAAACGTCGAGTTAACTCGGTAAACTCGGTTGACTCGACGTGTTTACCCAGTTAACTCGGAATTGAAAAAAAAAAGAGAAAAAAGAAAGAAAGAAATGAACTCTGACGTCGACACAAACAGCCTCATCTTCTTCGCTCTCCGAAGCTGAAGCAGAGGATGTCGACGGAGGGCCCTGAATCTGATTGCTCCGCATCCTCCTATGTGTGATGCTTCCATCTTTTGCAATCTGTCTTCGTGCTTCGTTCGCTGGTAATCAGGGTAAGTTGAGCGAAGATGGTTGACGAGTTCATCAATGGTAGAATACTTGAACTTGCAAGACTCCAATCGATGACAAAGGGTTTCTTGCAATGACCTTCCCCGTTTCTTCTTCCCACCCCTTCTTCCCTCTCTGATTTCTCACCTCTGTTATTCAACTCATAAACCCTAACAAAACTGTTGCGTTTCATATTCTTATCGACTTGGGCTCATTAGTTATTGGATTGGGTTGGCCTAGTTTGCTACTTATGTTTTTTTTTTCCATTAATACATCACAGTGTATTAATTGAAAATATTTAGAATATATTCACACACTATAATGGCTATAAAATTATAGGAAAAAAATTCAAAAACTCTATCATTTATCTTTTATATTTTTTTATTACTTATCTTATATGTGAATTTTTTTTATCCAAATTCATTTTAATAATGTTAAATATTGGGTTATTTCATCTAATTAATATTTGGATTTTAATTTGTATCATGATGACTGAGTTTAAACTTCATTTTTATTTACTTTAGTGTTTGAACTTAAATTTATAATAACTTATGTATTGGTGTAATATATGTTGGATATATTTATTTATATATATATATATATATATTTATATATTTTTTTTAGTACGTAGTAAACTCTTACGTTTCGTTTACGTTTTTCGATTTTACGTTTTTGCTCACCCCCACCGTTTCTACGTAAACTCTACGTTTTAACAACATTGATAGTAATACAGTGCAACTGAGATGGATCGGAGGTGGTCTCTGATTCTGAGGCTCAAGTGTGAGCCCTGTCCAATCTCTTAGATTCTTCTCCCTACATTCCTAGTCTCTTTTATTCGATCTTGCTCCTCATTCTATGTGAAAGTTGTGGATTTCGAGGAAAATGAAGACCGGTTCTCATGGGGTGAATCATTAATAGAGGTTTCTGGCAAATTACTGGTGGAACAGTGATTGGAAATAAACAGAAAGAAGTTTACCATGGAGTGGGGAGAGAGGCAATGGTTGAGCAAAAAGAGAATAAAAAAAATGTTGGCTTTGGTTTCTCCTCGCATTCTCTGGTTGCTCCAATCCTTTTTCTTTGTCATAGTGTTATTGCACTCCTAGTCTCATTCTAGGTTATCAATAGCGGCATGTAGTGCTGCTAAACCGCTACAGTAGTGTGTAGCGGCGGCCGGCCGCTACAACCACGACACGACGCTGAGCAGAAGGTCGCGGCATGTATAGGTGTGCAACGCGACGCTACCCGCTATTTGACATTGATTGTGAAATTATGTGTTTGATTTGGAATTCAATGTTCATTTGTGTTTAATTTTGGATCCTTCCTTCATGTTCCTTGTATTTGATATTGATTGTGGAATTATGTGTTTGATTTTGTAAGACTTCTTATGTTTGAGGATTTATATTTGTGTAGTATTAGACTGTTAGTATAATATATGTGGAATTAATACTTCACCATAGCAGCAATATCGCTACCCACTACACTGCTATAACATTTTCGGGGTCGGCCGCCACCTGCTACTGACAAGTATGGTCTCATTAGACTAAGGGATTAATTTTGTGTGGAACAGGGTTGTGGTGGCATAGATGCTGCTTGGGTCCAGTAATTTATTTCAGAAATCCCTCTCCCCCATGTGAAACTTAGGATAGCCGACATTAAATTTTCCATTGTATTAACAAAATTGCACAATCATACAATGTAGACGACATGACATTTCTACATCTAAATATGCAAAATCAGAATTGCAGTGCTAATTGTTGAAAAAATTGTAATAAGTAATAACAGACAATTAATGTTTCTAACAAATTTAGAGATCTAGCCCTAATGGTTGGACAAATTCCAACTTAACTTAACAAATTTGCCGCAACAGAAGTTCCAAGCTGAAAGATAACTAAAATAAGAGCAATCATGACAAAAAAAAATATTTGCAAGGTATTGGTGTCAATACTTAGAAGTAATATATGATTCACAGCATTACAAAGGTTCTAGGATATTATAACACTAATTAAAGACCTGGTCATAAATCCAGAGCACAGAAAATATAGCACAATGATTAATGAATACTGACTATACCCATAAAATGTAACATGAAATTTTCTAGTTGTTGTTGAGATGAAACCTGAACATCGCATAGCAGTAGCACCACCATACCAACTTCATCAACCATATCTATCTTGGCAAAACCTTATTTTGTATTTCCAGTGAAATTACAATTCAAACTCATCTTCAATCTTCAAAGCCTCCACGGCAGCCTCTTCCTCTTCATCATCAATGACGAAATACGGATTGTGAGCCTCCGGCTTGAACTTATAACCGGTAAACACATAGAAAGCAAGCGTAGCTAACTCCGCAGCAACCACACTTGTCCAAGAATACCGATAAGAGGTGATAGTCTCCAATGCATAAACCACAACCCTCGTGAAGTAAATGTAACAGATAACAACAACATAGTAATGCCTGAAGAGGGTCAACTTCATCAAATTAACAGCAGCCTTGCCGTCAGTCCTCGCGGCCTCGCGGAGGTTCTTGATGGACCAAACAATAGGGAAGAGCACAGCACAGCAACAAACAACATCAACAAGAAGAAACACTTGTTTCCACGTAACCCAGTCATGTCCATAGGGTCCACTCTCATCAATAACGACCTGAGCAATGTTTGCAATAACTTGAAGAGGAATCACAATCATGAGAACCTTCTTTTCCTTATCCTGAAGGAAAGGCTTAAGGAAGGACCAACCAGTGCCAATTAAAACAATCAAGGTGAACAGCGAAATCCCCTTGAGGAAGCTGAAAATGTAAAACAGAACATCCCAACCATGTGCACTCCCCGTGCGCTTTATGAACGATTTGTCCTCAGCCTCACATAACAGATTCAAAGCCTTCAAGAAAATAACCGCCAGCATGAAGTAATGGATGCGAAAAGCGGTTAACCGTTTTTTGTAAAGAAACGCGATCCAAACAGCGGCGAGCGCGAAATACACCAACGAGAAGAGGAAATAAACCCTAGGGAGGACGGTGCTGCCGGCGGAGAGGTAATCGCGGACGCCGCTCTTTCCGTCGAGGTTGTACATCGCCGATTGAACGTCCATGGTGACTTTCAGCTGCTGCGGGTGACAGTTAGCGAAAACGAGGTTGTACTGATCGGCGTCGGTTTCGCTGTAAAGCGTGGAGAACGAGTCCTTGCCTTCGAGGGAACTGAAGGTGTAAACGGACTTGACGAGATCTGATTGAAGCGCGCAACGAATCTCGCCATCTTCGAGTTGCTGGAGAACGTGAAGCCATGAATCGAGTGTGCAGAGGAAGAAACCAACCTTGGAGAGGTCGAGGTTCGAGTTCGAGAGAGAGATTTTGGAGACGTTGAGTTCGAGGCGACCGCTGTGTGTGAAACCGAATTGATCGAAGGGAACGATTGGACGGTCGTCGTTTCGGATCTCGGAGAAACGGATCTCGGAGAGAGAAGTGAGGAACAGAGAGTGTAAGAGGAAGAGGATGAGGAAGAAGGAGGAACGTGAACACGACCCCATCATCTTCATCGTCACGGTCACCGTCGAATCGGGTTCCGAAACTGAGATCAGATCTAAAGATTTGGTTGCTTAACAAGAAAGAGAAGAGCTTGGCAATGTAAATCCACGACACACCAAACCAGTCAACAAGAAATTGTCAGCACGCAAGTAAAAGATGTGGCAGTGGCGCTATTTCTAGCACTTACTAAATCATTTCCTTTCTGGTAAAAATTAACTATTAAATACTATGGGGTTTGGTAATTCTGTTTTTTATTAGGAAAATGTTTTATTTATTATTTATTTTTTGGATTTGGTGTTTTTCATTTTAAATAACACAAGTTATGTCATTTTAAAAGAGAGATAAACACAGAAAAACAGAAATCATGGGAGAGAGAAAGTGAGTGGTTTTTTTAATTTAAAATTCAAATGTTCTATGTCTGTATCTCTCTTAAAATGACATAATTTTCTGTCATTTAAAATGATAAACACTTTTTTCTTATTTTTTACTATTAAATTTTTTTTTTGATAAATAAATTTATTAAATTTTAATAGTTGATTTTGACTAATTTAATGATTATCATTTATTATAGAATAATATTATTTTTTTATTATTTTATTATTATTTTTTACTATCAAAATAATTATAATTTATTAAAAATTAATAATTAATTAATAAATATGATTTAATAAATTATAATTGTTAGATTGATGAAAATTAATAATTAATATTTAATAATAAGTGATAATAAAAAATAAATAAATAAATATAACTGTCTTTTTTTTGTTTTATAAATAAAATTTATCCGCTATACTTGTATAAAAATAATGAGTTTCATTAATTATTTTTAAATTCTTGGACTCACTTACCAAATACTATAATTACATGAAAAGTGAAGAATGAACTTAGCTTTCAAAGGAATGTGTGAATTTTATATGATATTAAAATTTTAATATGGTCCACGTATTTAATGTTTATAAAGAGAAGTAAATATAAAATTTAATGAAATTCACATTTTTAATTCTTAATGTTACAGATGAGATCTGCAACAATTATCCTCAATCCTCATCTTCTTTGGTGGAATTTGCAAACATTCTCTCTTCTTTATTCTTTCACGATCATTAGTAACTTGTTTCATTTTTAATTTTTTTTTAAAAACTTTTGTAATGTCTAGAAATTTCTGTTGAATATTCCAACTGTACATATCTGTCGCATAGTTCTTTTATATTTGAACTTTGATTCCCGTACCTAATTTTTATTTAACCTTTATAAGAAAACTAGTTATATAATTATAAATATTATTAAATTTTTAAATTACTTTCAACATACACATTCACTCAACAGAAATTCATGATTGATCATGAAATCTGTCAAAATGAATTGAATAATCGGATTAACCTATTTAACCAGCAAGTTAAACAGAACGGCTTGTTTAATACACAGAATGAATTTATTGCTATTTGTTTATAATTATGTTTGATTATTCTAATTATAAATCTATGTAATTGAGATTGGGTGTTAAAGTTCCTAAATTTTACTTGCCTCCATGAAAAGAAAACATTTTCTATTTAAGTATAAAAAAAAGGTTTTGCTAGTTGCCCATTTTTGCTTTGAAGTTATTTCAGATGAGTTTGAAAACAAGTGGAGAAAAAAAAAATGTTTCATTTGCTACACATCTAGGCACAAGAACTGATGCGAGACAACTTGGGTTAAATTTTATACAAATTGTTAAGATACGATCCATTTTGATTTAACCCAGTTATACCTACGCAGGAGCCATCGCTGGCAGCTTCAAATAGTGGCCCTTTAGACAACTAATCAATTTTAGATGCAAACTAATTAGAGAAAACAATAACTTTTTCCCAAAGTACAATGCTACCTCACAACCAACAATTTCCCTCCAAACAAATGCCTAACATTTGGAACCTTCTAGGAATCGACTATCTAACTTGAATCTTTCTTTTTTTTTTTTTTTCTATGGTAGGATTTTGACTTACAACCTACAATACCCTCTTAGAATCTACTAGTAATTTATGTCATTGTAGAAATTGAACTCAGGTTGGTGGCATCAAAAGTTATAACTATTAATTAAAATGCAAATATTTTTTGTTGAAGCTCATCAACTTGCGCAAGAGTTCAATCTAACTTCGGTCCAACAAAGGCAAAATACTAGCCTGCAATCAACAATCCCCTCCCTGCACTTGCCTGGTTCTGTGCCTTATCAATGAATCAAATTCAGTCTAGCTCCGACTTACCTGGCGTTGCTAAGGCTATATGTTTAGCTACAACCAAGAATCTTTCTTCTAACATTCATGATCTTGGTTCTAATAATACTTGTTGGACTAAGTACTTATCATTAATTCAAAAATTATATTTATCAGTTAGGACACAAATCTTTTTATATAAGCCCACATGGTTATCCGAATTGAGCCAATATGGCCTTGTTAAGGCAGGATAAAGGCACAAATCTTTCTAGCTCACATGGTTATCCGGATTGGGCCAACCTAGTCTTGTTAAGACAGGATATTAATGTGTTAACAATCCCCATCCAACATCGAGTCGAAATCAATGTTTCTCTTTAAATCAAACTCATAACCTCAATTCTAAAACCACTTACTGAATTAAATAAATATTATTAGGAAAATCATTTTCTCATGTAACAGGAGATAATTTTCTCATGTTATGAGACATCGAAAATCGTGCTGTCCTTTTTGTTTTTTCTTCTTTTTTAACAAGTGATGAGCTCCACCACTTATTGTATCTATGACATTAGAGACACGAGAAAAGAGAAGCCCATATTATTAACCCAAAAGCTATAACTTAATCAGGTCCAGCCAAATCTTTTTGGCTCTCATACCAGATATGAGAATAGTATGGGAAGCCCAAAACCTTTTGCAAATAATATATCCACCAATGGACCAAATAATAAATAAGCAGACACCACATCTTAACTTAAAATTATAGATTTATGGATTTTTTGTACTTATATCATACTCACTTGATTAATTTCTAATTGATGTGAAACTTATCTATCACTAACACTTTAATATTCAGAACGCTCTTGTTCTTACATGCCCTCCTATCCTACAAAAATCTTTCAGTTTCTCTCTAAAAGTTTGAGCCTTTTCAAAAACCATCAGTTCAATCTGATTCTACCCTCATAACCTACCCCCTAACGTTGCCAAGGCTAGATTTGGCATACAATCCAACACTGCCTTCACCATACCTAATAACCACACAAATCTGCGTGGAGCGTTAACAACCATCATAGCATTTGTCTTGGCCTGAAACTATGTTGTGATGGTAGTTAGTAGACAGCATTAGCTTCTGGTAAACTTGTTTTCTTTTTATTTGCAGGAAACTCATATATTGATGGAGACACATCCTACTATCCCAGACACGCGTTGACAAAGAAGAAAAGACACAGATACTTTTTACCATTTATGATAATATTCTCTTAAATAAACCTTAGTTTCAGTAGAAAGGGAAATATTGGGATAGAGATATGTTAAATTAGAGTGCAATGCACCAAAGTGATATGTAACTAATATTTAACATTATAACTACAAATTTACAATGCAGTATTCTTAAGACAGTGCCCAATCATTTGTGAGTGCAATAACCGTATTAAAGGGAAAAAAAAAGTATAAGGCTGGTATTACTTCATGCGTGATAAATGAAGTTTTCTGAAGCTAGATGATAACAGGACAACCTCGGGTCGAAATGAGAAGCTTAGTAGACACAAATTTTGTCATTTAATTCCAAAAGGAGTATGTGTTCATGCTTGTAGTTTAGGACATACACTGGAGCTTGGATTTGCCACAGAGCCTGCAAGTTATTACCTCGTTAGAATATGAAAATCTTTTGGTCGATTGAACACTGAGAGGATCATACTTACATATTTCAGCATAGCAAGGTTGTTTGGAAACTGGGTCCTCTTCAAATGGAGGTGGGGTTTGGCCATACACCATATCACAACTCATGTCTTCAAAATCTGAGATTAAATTCAGATACATATGTATCAACATCAATATCAACAACACCTTTATTTCAAACTAGTTGGAGTCACTGGCCAAATAAAAAGCAAGAAAAAATAGAGAGAAAGAAGAAAAAAACTTTGGAAGTAAAAACTTTGGGCAAGTCATATGTCTTCATTGTAAAGAATGTGGACCTTGAGAGTTTTTGGCCAGTAATCAAAGGTAAGAAGACATACTAGGAATCATTGTTAATGGAAGTCCAAATTCATTTGTGAAAAAATCTTGGGTAGGAAACTTGCACATATTGACACACATTCCCACACAGCCACTGTTCTCCAGGTACCTTTGCAAGAATAAATATCAAGGAAACAAAAAAAAAGGGAGATAATTGTTACAATGGGATCTTATTAATGCAAATTTTAGAAATTCTCAAATTAAATAGCTACTAATTGTCAATTTTCTGGCCTTCCAGCCTCAATTGATTGCTATCATTCAGACAAAGATGGCTCTAATCTCTATATACTCAGAGACATGAAATCTACCTGCATTTCTTTATATGGACGCCACTTTTTTGCTTCACCCCATTTACCTCTACTTCCACAACCTAGTGCATCTCAACAATCTAAATATTAATGACAGCACTAAGTAATATAGCAGAAAATACCAAGTAACACAGGATGAATTACAAATAACCCCTTGATGTTTCAGTCATTTTCAGTTTTCATATGTGAAGTTTATTTCGTAGCTCTTAACCCCATCAAATTTGGGTTAGAATGAAAATAGATTAAATTCTATTAGTTTTGATGTCTCATTAGTCACAAGAAGAAGGTTGAGTAACTTGCAAACTGACTTGACTCAATTCTTTCCCATGCCTATAAAACTTGCACAACTTAGCATTTTTCATTCTAATTCAAACTTCAGGGGAATATGTATTACAGAATAAAGTTTATATATGAAGGTTGAAAATGACTGAAACATCTAAGGGATTTTTAATAAATTATCAAACATATATTAATGCAGCTCTGCAAATCTACAAACTTGCACAAACTGGAAGCATAAGGACAATATTAAATAGCATGGAGAACTTTTGTATGCAAGATGGCAGAATCATTCAATAATCCAAAAATTGAGATGCTGCTTGGTTATGTATTATGGCAAATTGAAAAGGTTCCAAAAAAATGTTCCTAGATGTCTTTGTAGAATCAGGGTGTAAACTATTTTTGTAATGCAAAGCCCTTATGAGGTTGAAAAAAAAATTGTTAAATTGAGTCATGGCAATATAAATTACAATGATGAATAGAATTTAGTAAAAAAATTACCTCAGAAGGCCCAACTAACCAGTGGAAGAAAGGCACCGTCAATGCAGCATTAAACTCTGCAGCCCATTTTGTTGGTGGAAATAATTTCCTGAACTGCGGTAACATAGCTAAAGCAACTTAATACACACAGTAAACGATTCAAATTGTTTTAACCAAAAAATAAATAAATAAATTGAAGACAGATACAGGCCTAAGAGCAGGCACCTATATATTCTAGATGTTTAAAAGCCAGTCAAGGAAAAGAAACTCCTCAACTCAAACCCTTCTCACCATTTACCACCGTAACTAAAATTCAGTCCTCGTTAAACCCCGACTAGCGAAGATAGGATGAAGGCAATTATTTTACGCAGTCTTACCCTTACATAATTACAAAGAGACTATTTTCTGGATTCAAGCGTATAACCTTTCGGTCATAAAGAAATAATTTACACAAAAATCATATACACAAATGACTAGGATCAAACATAATGTTCAAATATCTTGAAGATATCATATAATTTAGAATATTTTAAAGAACTCTCATTATTTTGCTTCATTATTTTAGGAATCCCCAACTTATATGCTATGGTTTTTTAGATCACTTCCTAACACATCAGTGTATAATATTATTCAATCTTTTTTCCCCCTCCATCTATGCCTACTTTTCTATAATTTCAACACAAGAGAAGTAAAATTAGAAATTGAAATTATAGATGCATTTGTAAAAATGAAAAGAAATAAAACACTAAAAATTATCCACCTGAGCAGGCGCACCTGGAGGAAGCATAGATAGGAGAACCTCTCGAACCACTTGTTGCTGCTGAATACGAGACCTACGCTGCATTACCCTCTTTGACACATCCACGAAACTCTCATAATCATAACCCCAATCCCACCAACCCTTCTTCTCTTTATCTTTCCCTATTGGATCTGCAAATCTTTCCATTTTACGTGCAAAAAGTGTCATGAAAGCCTTCTCAAAAATGCCATCATTGTAACGCGTCTTTTGTCCCAAAGGAGCTGGTACACCTGATGGCTCAGCTATTCCACATCGAATACTAATGATACCACATGCTCTTTGTCCAAGCAATGATACGGGTCGGTGAGGACTTACCTGAACAACCTGGAAGCTCAGAACCACCATCAATTCCCACTGTTATGTTTCAGAATTCACACAGAACACAACACAACAACTTGTCTAAAATCCCAGTAGATAAATAAATTTGATTATTTGCTTTGCACGTGGATAATCTAAAATTATGCGCACGAAATATTCACATGCGTATCGACATGATTGGGTTAGAATGGCTTCTTTGAGTTTATTTGCTCTAGACCACACGTTCACTTCCTTTTATTATTATATTAAATAATATTTGGTTGTATGGGCCTTATCTACTATAATTTTTATTAACTGAAAGTCTATATTTTAATTTATTTATATTCCATTCCATTTTTGCAGGATAACATTGAACGTAAAACATTTGAACCGAAAAATATATAAATAAAGCTTTGAAAAAGAAAACTGTGTGTATACACTACTTCTTTGGTTAAAAAATGTGAATAAGGATTATTTTATATCAGAATAAGTTATATTATTAATCTCGGACGCAGTGTTCTAAAACCTCGTCTGGAACCCTGACTCTCTTTCTTTAAGGGTTGGGTTTCGGTGATTCTCGGATCAGAGGGGTTACTGTGTTTAAAAAAGATAAATAAATTTTTTTTACATAAAATAACGTTATTTTGTGAAAAAAAAAATCTTATCTGAAATTTGAGAGTGAAGAACAAAATCAAATCTTCTCTTCTCTTCCAAAAGTCTTCATCTCGGTGATTCCTCCACCTCTCCTTCGTTGCTCTGCCTTTTCTGTCTTTCCTCTCCGTCGCACCACAGCCTCTCCTTCGCTGTGGCGGTTCTTTTCTTCACTAATTCACTCTTTTTCTTGGTTGGTTTCTCTGCTTTGAGCATATCTGGTATTATTGTATTACTGAGCAATAAGGTTTGAAGATTTCTCCGACCTTGATATATTTACTCTCATATCAAGAAAACAATAGATAAAAAATTATGCAAACTAAGACTTTTAAATTGCATCGCAACAATAGTGAATTGAGAAATTGAATTGGATGAGATGCCATTGTTCATGGAAGACCAGGAGGGCCTGAGTTTGATGATATAACTTTTCATTAATTCCATTGGAATATGTGTTTTATACTAATGGTGTTTATCAACCGAACTAAACCGATTCAAACCGCGGTAACCGAATTGAAAAACCAATAACGAATTAACCGAAAATTAAAAAATCAAAAATTGAAAAGAAACCAACATATTTTAATTGAATTGGATCAATTTTGAGTTTGGTTGGTGAAAACCGATCCAATATATTATGTATTTATTATTTTTGAAAGATTATCACTTGAAATCTTGGATGTTATTGATAACAAACTATCTTATTTTAGTTTTTTATTGTCTATTAATTTATTTTAACTCTTCGTGAGTTTTAAGACTTATTTTAGTTTGAAAATTTGAATTTTTCAAAGGTTTGTAACTTTGAATGGTTTTATTTTAATATAGCTAGTGATTTGTATGACTGAAATTTTAGGCTTTTCAAACAATCGAAAATCGATCCTATCCAAACCGAATAAGATTGGATCAAATTTTAAAAAAAATTCAAACCGAATGGATGATTAAATGATTAAACCGAAGAGATTGGATCATATGATCTTTGCTTCAAAACTAATCCAATATAGATCGCGAACACCCTTATTTTATATTTTGATACTTTGATTAGCTTGTGTAATATTGATTTGTAGATGTAATTGGTTGAATTATGTTAAGTATATTTTGAATCCTTGATGATTGGTGATTTTGGAAATTGCCAATGTGATAAGACTTTCAAAGGACGAGATTCCTTGGTTATATCCCGAGTCAGTGGACCGGTACGAGGTTAATTTTGCGGACAAAATTCTAAAAGGAGGGGTGATTATAACACCTCGTATTTCTAAATTAAACATTAAGATATTAAACATGAGTTAAAGGGAAAGATTAGTGAAAATCCTGAAAATTATGTCAAAATACAAAGGAAGGGTAAAACGGTAATTAGCCAACACGCAATCCTAGGAAGATAAAAATTGAGTAGAAGGTCTCAGATGATAAAAATAATCCTAGAAATGGGTTCAAAATGAAAAATTGAGTGGTTAGGCAAGTTTCAGAAAATTAAGTGAAAAGTGCTTTTATCGGGTAAAAATATCGCGATACAGTCGCCCCGTAAAGTGTGCCGATTGAGTTTTGAGCTCTAAGTTTTAAATATGAGTTATAAATGGTTTATAGAACTAGGGAATATGATTTCTGATAAAATTTGATGGAAATAAGTAAGTTTGGGGAAGCGTGCTAACGGCGCGCGCAACAGCTTAAAACAGCATTTTCTCCGAACGACCCGAAAACTCAGGATTCATCTGATCAAGGGTAATTAAAGGACAATGGTTAATGTTAAAAATTAGAGTTTCAAAATAGATTGTGAATTTATGAACGTTTAGTGAAATCGGAGGGAAATTCGAATTAGTTTAAAATCGCGTGAGGTGGCGGTGGGGCCCACCTCACTTAAGTGAACTTAGCCACATGGACCAACACTATTCACCATAATCTAAAACCTCTTTTCTCTCTCCAAATTTCGTTCTCCCTTCCCCCCTCCATGACCATTTGAGTTTCAAATTTATTTCCTTGCTAACTTCATCGATTCTTAATCGAATCAGACGATTCTTATCTTGAAATTTGATGGAAATCATCACCCGAACTCGTTCCACCGATTAGTTTCCCTTGAAACCCTCTCTATTGTGAGAAAAAGGGCATATACAGCCACAAATTTTCTTGGAGTTTTGTGATTTTGGGGTTGATTTCTTAAGCCATTGCTTGTGGAGTTCTAGGAGGAGCTTTGTGACGTAATTGTGGGTAAGTTTCAACACCTCTCATGGATTAATTTGATGATTTATTTCCATTAACCCTAAAGGGACTTTTGTTGATTGATGTGTTTAGAGAGCTCAAATGGAAATTGTTTGTACATGATAATATCTTAGAATGATGTGTTAGAGCTATAAATGCAAGAGTAAACACCCTTTTTAGTCCCTGTCAATATCTACGAAGTCTTTTTTAGTCCCTGACAATAAAAAAGGACCAAATTGGTCCCTGAAATTACAAAAAAAGGGTCATGTTAGTCCTTATGTCAACTCCCAAATATGTAGAGTGCCCCTTTTCTTGTACTTTCAGGGACCAATTTGGTCCTTTTTTATTGCCAGGGACTGAAAAGGACTTCGTAGATATTGCCAGGGACTAAAAAGGGTGTTTACTCTAAATGCAATGAAAATTATTGTTGAAAAATATGTTTTTTTAACTTAGGAAAATTTGATGGTGCCATGACTTTATGTTTTGAAATTGTGATAGGATTGTATAATTGGATTTTTGTATAGTTGTATGGTGTAAAAATGAGATTGTATGTGGTATGGAAGAGTTGATTTGGAATGAATCACCCTTGGTGAGGGCTATGTTGAATTTCAGCCATTAAGGAAAAAAAGAGAGGAAATTATGTTGAAAAATTGGTTGGATGATGTGTTGTGTATGGTAAGGTAATTAGATGGGTTGTGTGGTGGTTGGAAGGTTGGAAAACCAATGGAAAAATACTTGGTAGTGTTGAGTGATTAATTGGTCCTAGAGTAAAATATTAGGCAAAACGACGTTTGGAAGACGTAAAATGAAAAGTGGCACTTGATATGGTCTTTTGGTAACCTAAGGATGCCTAAGAAAATGAGAAAGAAAATTTAGAAAAATAAATTGTAAAATAAGCCTACCTTGGCCGAACCTACATGGTGTAGGGGAGGTTTTTGACGTTTTTCGTATTCTGATAGAATTGTCGTGTATTGATGATTCGTACATGCTTGTTGTAGGTTGCCGTACGTTGAATTGAACCCTGAACTGTGAGTTCGGTGGATTGCCCTTGGTCTTGGACCAAGTGGGATTGAGGTGAGTAGTTGGAACCATGCTTGTCTAATTGATAACTTGCATGTGTTGTATGAATTTTAAGTAATTGAGAATGTCCTCTGTGTAGTCATTTCTGTTGTATAAAGAGCTCGAAGAATATATTACTGGGAGCTAAGTGAAGAGGACTATACAGGTAACCTCTTGGTACTGGGGCTTGATCCCTTTGTGTGTTCCACTATGCCCGTTGAGGGTGATGGTAGGAATGTATGTAAGTAATGTAGAATAACATGATCATGCATTTAGTATGTATGTGGGTACATAGAATGTACCGAGTCTCTGGCCAATAGACAGTTTGCCTTCGAGCGTTACGGACTTCCACTGGATAGGTCTCCGAGAGGGAGTTACAGTTGGCCTAGGGTCATGGTGTGTGATCCGGATAGGAGCACACTAGGAAGTCTCGGGTGTATACGGATGGGAGGGGTACCTTGGTTGGATGTTCTTTGAACACGCCTTGGATGAGACCCGTAGGCTTATATGCCGAGCCATTAGGCAGGACGTTACGTGGTATTGGTAGCGACCATTCCAGCTTCGTCGTATTTTGTATCCCTATGTTCCTCAGTTTCTCTAAATCCCTTGCTATATCCCGTTTTTCAAGATATTATTTTATATTATTTATATGCATCGAAGTGAGCCATTGGACGGAGTATTCTCTAGAACCTCTAGGTTACTGAGATATATTCGTATATCTCACCCCGTCTTGGGGGCTTTATTTCAGGAGGTAGGAGTGGTACAGGAGCGGCAGACAAGAAGCCCGTAGGATGAGTCATTGGAGGATTTCATATTTTGCATTTTGATGGCCACTGCGCCTAGGCTAGACTTAGGGCATGAACATTTCACATGTATGTAGGAGAAGATTCATAGTCATATTTGTTCATATCATTTTGACTAAGTCTAGTTGTATATGTCATTTTAAGGTTTATGTTTTATGTTGTAATTTAAAGTTATGAATTTGTAAGTTGTAATATGTAATTGAGACGTTGTAATTGTACATGGATACTTGATGTAATATGATGGAGGGGCCTTAGGCCTATTTTAGGATTATGATTATGTGTATGTTTAGAAAATGCATGTAATTAGACATTGGTGATTGAAATGAGTCAAGTGTTAATAAAGTAAGCAACATTATACGAATTGTGTAATAACTATAAACTGTGATGGGTTATAAGTGCCCCAAGGCATTGTTGGTCCTAGTGTGTGCCACCCAA